GGATTCTACTCACAACAATGTTAATATTAATAGTAAGAAGCTAAAATCATAGCGCGGCGTATTTGCCAGAGTTACCCTATACAAAATTATATAAAATTATATATAATTATATGTAAAATTGACACATATATTTTATTAGGTGTTGGAATTAATTCGTAGCGTTTTTTAATGAAAGAATGTTATTTATTTCACATGAGCATTAAAAAATACATTAATGAAAGTACTTCCCATCACTTGTAAAACGCTACGAATTAATTCCAACACCTAATATATATAATCATATATAAAATATATTTATATATATAACATTTTTTCTCGGCTTATTACAAAAAAAGAAATACATTTTGATAGACGCGAATTTTCGCTGCTTGATGATGTGACCTGTGCATCATATTTGGTAATTGACTATATATAAGTCTACATAGATGACACCTATCAAACAACATAAAATCTAAAATTGTGATACAAATTTTTAAGTCGTCTTTTAGACGCAGAAAACGTCTTATGGCCCAATTTTAGATACTGTTTCTTATCTAAGCTTAAACAATAATTTGCGTTGTCTATACATAAATGAAGAATATCATGATTTGCACGTAAATGCACAATCCCGATATTCAACTTTTTTTATTCTTGATGAATTTTTTATTTACTCGCGCGTGCATATATTTTGTATGCATAAATACATGTATAAATAAATAAAGAAGGTTTTTATTCATTAAAAAAAGATAAATATCGAGTAACTGTAAATCAAATTTAATTTTTAGTCAATAAATTTAATTTTTTATATGTTATTTACGTCGTAACGACGAGATATCCAACATAAGATCATAGATTTAAACGAGAAGAACATGTACTCTTTTGAAACGCATAAGAAAATGCATAAGAAAATGAGTCAAAGTTTTTTATTTCCTTTTTTTCCATATAACAAAGGACTTTGATTAATTGATCTTTTTATCGCGTTTCAATTTACTTATGTCTCATGTTTTATGCACTATATGAGAGTCTGTACTCTTCGCTTTAGCATATTATTGCAGTTAAAACATCAGAGAAGAAAGCTGTAAGAGTTGCCTATACACTTTTAGACTGGTATTCATAGTCGATTTCAATTTGCTTTTTTATAGACCTATTATATGATTTTTTTTTTAACCGAATTATTCAACATTGAAGCAATAAGGGTCAATGTTGCTTCATTGTTGAAGAACTGGCACCAATGCATGTACCTAACGCTGATTGGTTACGCCATTAGGTGTATTTGATGTTAATTTGAAGAAGACAGCGAGAAAGAACAGATTGAAACGAGGAATTGTATCGTATAGATATTCCAGATGAAGGAATACCAAATGACGATTTCAGGTTATTAGCGTCACATTCTTTATCCCCACTCTAGCCATCTCGTTTTCTGTTTTTTTCCATTCGCTCACGCATTTTTTGTTAATTCCACTACTTTATACGCACAACTCATTGTGGATTAATCAGGTTTAACTAGTAGTCGACTATAAATAGAATGAAGAAGTCAATTTTCATTCAATTTATAGACGATTTTTTGTCGACTTCGTGTTGTCTGGGATCCCACTTTTTCTCGTACTTCACGCGTTGGTATGTAATTCGAATATTAGTCGATATTATAAGACAAAAAATTAAATACTGTTACCAATTCATTTACCATTTAGTTTAAATTTATCAAAATTATAGTTTTCTACGTATCACAATAATTTAGAGTGCAATATGTCAGACATGAAAAAGGATGTACCTTTCTACTATTCGTCAAGCGGTAATACGGAGGAGGACAAGGTTAGTTCTATAACGACTTCTCTTTTATTTTTTCACATCTCTTTTATTTCATAATTCAATTTTACTAACTTTTCGTTTTTATTACTTGTTTTAATTGATTTCTGTTGTATAGATACTTTTAGAACCGATCGAATACAGTCGGCAATGCAGTGATGTACATCCATATAGAAAAATATCGTCGATTTTTAATTATTGGTTTAAAGTATCACCCGATAAATTGCAACTAATTGACGAAGTAATGCAAATCGCTTTTAATGCATGCATCGTGTAAGTTATTTTTTGTTGTAAAATATAACTGAAACTTAAATATAAAACTTATGTATGAAATTTATATATTTTTTTTTAAATCGTGCGATAAGAAATAAGATACAATCTTTCCAAAGAAAATTACATTTTCTTCTAGAACATATTTTACGAAAATTTTTCTCTTTTTATACATCTAACATATCGTTCTCTCGCAAGGAATGTGACAAGAGTCATTTTAATTCAATATAAAATTTCAGTTTAATAATTATTCAGACAAGTGAGAGGGGAGGGGTGGGGCAATAAAAAGAACATTGAGTATTTTATAAAATTTATTATTTATTAGGCGTTGGCAGAATTACATATAAGTTATCTTATTAGAATTACTCACAAATTGTTTGTTCAAAATTTTCTATAAATAATGCAGATAATAATTTTGTTACGGTGTTATATGTTACCCTTGATGTTATTTTTAAAACTTTTCCTTGTATTATTTTTCTTTAGGAAGTATTTAACATATATCACTTTTCCATATTTTAATTTAGCAATATGCAATCCCATATCCATTGAAAACCTTATTTAACAGGGTTGTGTTGTAGATTTTAAGATTGCGTCTACACGGATTATTTACGTGAAATTTACATGATGTTTATATAATTTATTGGAATGTAAATAATATAGACTATGTAGACTATGTTGTAAAATGCATTGCTAACATATTTTATACAGTATAAAAGAATTAAAATTAAATTATAAAATAGCGAAACAAGTCAGAGGGAGCAACTGGAGAATACGGCGGGTGGGGTAGGACTTCCCATTTCAACGTTTCCAAGTATGTCTTGACCACTTTCGCAACATGGGGTCGAGCATTGTCATGCTGCAACAGACACTTTATCGTGTCTCTCGTTGTATTGCGGCCGGTTGTCTTTCAATGCTCGGCTCAAACGCAACAATTGCGTTCGATACTGATCGCCTGTGATTGTTTCAGTTGGTTTTAACAGCTCATAATACACTACGCCGAGCTGATCCCATCAATACAAAGCATGACCTTGTATCCGTGAATATTCAGTTTGGCCGTCGACGTGGAAGCATGGTCGGGAACTCCCCATGATTTTCTGCACTTGGGATTATCGTAATGAACCCATTTTTCGTCCCCAGTAACAATGCGATGCAGAAATCCCTTCCGTCTTTGCCTTTCAAGCAGCTGTTCACAAGCAAATAAACGCCGTTCAACATCTCTCGGCTCCAACTCGTACGGCAAATTTCCTTGCTTCTGAATCATTCCCATGACCTTGAGGCGTTTTGAAATTTTACTTGTTAAGTCACTCCTAATTCTTTTTGATTTTGACACGAGCCTTGATCAAGTAATGCCTCTAATTCTGCGTCTTCGGAAATCTTCTCTCTTCCATCGCTATGCCGCTTCGATGTCAAAATCACTGTTCTTGAAGCATTGAAATCACTCACGACACGTTCTTTCACTAATAGCGGCCTCACCATAAGTATTGGAAAGCATTCGATGAGCCTTATCCGTAGTCTTCATATTAAAGAAAACCTCCCGCGAATGACGAGAATTTGGATCGTAAACTGACATTTTCAATCGAGAGATAACGTTATGACGCAGACATAAATCGATTAATGTTTCTATGGGATTATGTTGACAGATGCCCAAGTTTATTGTATGACGTCTATGATCTATTTATTTCGGCCACCACTTACTGCTAAAGCCATCTATAGGAAAACGGCGAAAGCAAAGTTGTACATCTAATAAAAAATTTAAAAAATTTTTTAGTTAAATCTTGATCTTCCACTTCAATTATTGTTTTGCTGCTACAATCTATTATATTTCTGGCTTCACCTTTTTTTATTATACTTATTTTTGATATAAATGATACAAAAAAAAGATAATACAGTCTCTCTATTGACTGAAAACGTTAATTTCATATATTTTTATAAATTTATAAAGTTTTTGTTTCTTGATAGGTTCGATGATATTCAAGATGAGGCCATTATGCGAAATGGTTTTCCTGTAACCCATTCTGTTTATGGACTTCACTATTCAATAAACGCTGCAAATTATTTACAATTTATTGCTTGTGAAAAAATTATTAATTTACATCCCATGGTAATAAGTAGTTGCATTTTGTCTGTGTAAAACTTTGAAAAATTGAATGCGTTTTATCTTCTTGATATTTTATAACAGTAATCAAAATGTGAAATAGACAGTTTTATCAAAATTTTTGCATACATAAAAAAGATACAAATTCATTGAGTTGATTCCAGTCTTTATTTGTTTCTGATCTGTTGAATATGATTAAAACTTAATCTTTAATCAAGTCTATTTTAATGTTGTTTATGCCTTTCTTGTTTAAGTAAAATAAATTATTAAAATACAAATCTCATTATAAAATTGCACTTTTTACCATGCCGACTGATAATGCTTCTTTATAATTTTGATTATATTTTTATTATATATTTTTTATTTTAATTACATATTTTTATGTCTTAACAGGCAATTAAAATTGTGATTGAACAATTTATGGAATACTACAGAGGTCAAGGAATGGATTTATATTGGAAGGAAAAATTCATCTGTCCGAAAGAAGAAGATTACAATATTTTAGCAATGAGAAGTAAATATTTTTGTCCTTATAAGCTTCTGCTATATACAAAGCGTATTACATATAAATGTATAACTTCAATATATAATATATTAATTAATTTTATAGAGAGTACTTGGTTAATTATAATGGTGGTAAAATTAATGAAACTATTTTCTACTTATGAAGAAGATGTATTGTCACTAGCAAGTACTTTGGGATTATATCGCCAAATACATGATGATTATTGCAATTTACGTCATGATGAGGTGATAATTGATAATTTAACTAAATAACTTGAACCAAATTTAGCAAAACTTTTTGTTATTATAGGATACTAATGAGAACAGTTATTGCGATGATTTGACTGAAGGAAAAATGAGTTTCCTAATTATTCATGCGCTTGAGAAACAATCCTGACGATAAGAAAATAATAAGTATCCTTTATCAAACATTATATTTAATATGATATAAGTAGATAAAGAATATATTTCGTATTAAATAGACAATAAAAAAATTAAATGATAAACGTATCATATTTTGAAAATTTTTATAACAAAATTTTTAGATAATGTTAAAATTCTTAACAATAATTCAAGATATTTTAAAACAACGATCGAAGAATATTGAAGTAAAACGTTACTGCGTTAAAATATTGGAGAGTTACGGCTCATTTAAGTACACAAAAGATGTACTTGATGAATTGGAAAAAAAGATGAGAACCGGAATTGATCGTTTAGGTGGCAATCCGATCTTTGTAGAATTTTTGGACGATTTCAAGAATAAGATGTTGAAAACACGTATCTAAAGATTCTTTAATCAAAATGATAAAGAATTCAGAAATATGTATTTTGTTATTACTAAAACATCAGACGTAGTATTATATAATTTATCCATACTGTTGTAATAAAATAATCTCTTATTAATAGCTATAAACAACAAAATGTAATAAAAATTAATGTCTGTAATTAATAAATGTAATAAAGATAAGTAAATTTTACTTAAAAAAAAATTTTATTTAATACTTTGATGAAAAAAATCATTTACAAAGCGCTATAGTAATAAATCATATGCACCGAAAAAAAATATTCTGCCGATTAACGGGAAATACCTCTTAGCATTTCTTCTAAGAACAAAATTGTACATAAATCTCACACAAGCGCGTGTATTTTGTGACATGTATTTATCTATATAAATGAGGACATACGCAAAGCGATGCAATACCTGGCATAGCGTTTTTTTCTTCGCAGATTTGTATATAAATATATTAAAACTCTCTCTCTCTCTCTCTCTCTCTCTCTCTCTCTCTCTCTCTCTCTCTCTCTTTCTGCCTCTCTCTCTCTCATAATTTTGAATCTAAAATTGATTAATGAATTACACTTCGACGACGAATGTAATCGATAAGTTTTAAATTTAAATATTAATTATTACTAATAATTACTAATAATATTATCATAAAAAATGTAAATAAGAGGCCGTAACGGTCCTCTTCTCCTAAAAGTATATACAACCATATTTTAATTTAGCAATATGCAATCCCATATCCATTGAAAACCTTATTTAACAGGGTTGTGTTGTAGATTTTAAGATTGCGTCTACACGGATTATTTACGTGAAATTTACATGATGTTTATATAATTTATTGGAATGTAAATAATATAGACTATGTAGACTATGTTGTAAAATGCATTGCTAACATATTTTATACAGTATAAAAGAATTAAAATTAAATTATAAAATAGTCTTTATACCCACAAAGTAGAATTGTCCGAAATGCATCTAGGAATTAGGTTATAAAAATATATTGCGATATTTTTAGAATATTCCTGTGATACGTTTTGAATATTTTAGCTACGTGAGCACGCTCACGTATTCTCATTTTAAATATAAATTGTATAAGCATTATGTAAGTAAAATTATGTAAGTATTTATTAAATCCATAAATTATATAATATGTACTCAACTTTAGGAAACGTTTCTAAAAATTAAATTTAGGAAACTTTTATTATTGCTTTTGTTACTGCAATATGCACAATGTGCATAATATTTATTATATCTTTTTATTAAAGTAAAATCTAGTTCATTAAATCCATTATTTATTTTTCGTGTCATGTTCGAAGCAACGAATTGTTATATTTTAAAATCTAGTTTATAAGTTTTGAGGTATTAATACAAACGTTGAGCTTTAAAATTTGAATTCTACAAATGTTACATGAAGAACTTATGACTTATGACTTCAATATACATTTCAAATTTATTCAATACACCGCACGATGAAAGCATCTTTTGAACAACAGCTGATCAACATTTTTCCGTAAAAGCTATAAAGTTTCCGGGAAAAAATATTTTATATATTATTATATATAATTAATAACTCCGATATATATGCCGCACCTATCAAAAACTTAATTTATTAAGTATTATTTACTATGCTTATAGTAAATGAACATTCTTCTAGAATATATATTAAAAATTTTCTCTTTTTGTACATCTAACATACCGTTCTCTCGCAAGGAATGTGACAAGAGTCATTTTAATTCAATACAAAATTTGAGTTTAATATAAAATTATTCAGACAAGTGAGAGGGGGGGGGGGGGGATAAAAAGAACATTGAGTATTTTATAAAATTTATTATTTATTAGGCGTGGCAGAATTATATATACAGTCTGTTCAATAAGAAAGTGTCTGCCATAATCAAAAAACTATAAACATTTAGACAGTTTTTTATTTTTTTTTTTGAAGTACACATTATTAGCTATTGCGCAATTACTTACCCTAGTATTTTGTCCAAACACCTCCATTACTGATTATTGCATGACACCTTTTTTCCATACTTTCGACGAGGTTATCTGCATATTTCTTTGGCAAAAATCGCCATATCTTCTTAATTTGAAATGACAGCTGCTCCACCGTGTACACTGGCTTTCCTTTGAGTTTCATCTTCATGTTCGACCACACATTTTCAATGGGATTAGCATCTGGGGACATTGCCGGCCATTCCATTCACTAAAAACACTGCCTCGTACCGCTTCAAGAATTTGGCACTCATGGCAAAAATAATAAATTCGCTGACGTAAACTACACAATGTGCTGGTAGGATATATTGCGCAAAAGAACACGAAATAAAGGTTCAAACGAGTTCAGGAAGATATCGCTATGGTCGCTCTTTGTAGAATAATGAACATCACGTTCTTATTGAACATAATGAGCATCACGTTCTTATTGAACAGACTGTAAGTTAACTTAGAACTACTCACAAATTGTTTGTTCAAAATTTTCTAGAGGTAATGTAGATAATAATTTTGTTACGGTGTTATATGTTACCCTTGATGTTATTTTTAAAACTTTTCTTTGTATATTTTTCTCTCTGTTATTTTTCTTTAGGAAGTATTTAACATATATCATTTTTCCTGAAAGTCGATGTATTTAGAATACGATCCTCTCAAAATTTAAAAAATTTATCTCATTCTTATTGCGGGAGTATAACACGTTTTAACATAATGATTTATATATTAGGTGTACAACTTAGCTTCCGCCGTTTTTTTCCGAAATTCGAGGCTTTATTGCAAAAAATTGGTTATACATTTATGATTCAAAGTATTATCCATCGTTGGCCACTACTTTCTCTCATCTTTCGGGCAGCGTACGAATCCCACGTCGAAAAAACTGGTCATCTTTTGAGGCGATCCACAAATCGATCCAATTTTTTTTCTTCTTCAATTCTTTTTAATTTTGACACGAGTCTTGATCAAGTAATGCCTCCAATTCTGCATCTTGGAAAACCTTCTCTTTTTCACCGCTATGCCGGTCTTCACCGTTCTTGAAATGTTGAAACCACTCACGACACGTTCTTTCACTAATAGCGGCCTCACCATAAGTATTGTAGAGCCTTAGCCGCAGATTTCATCATATTGAAGCAGAAAATTAAAACCTCCCGCGAATGACGAGAATTTAGCACGTAAACTGTCATTTTCAATAGAGAATAACTTTATGATGCAGACACAAATCGATTAATGTTTCTATGGGATTATGTTGACAGATGACCAAGTTTATTGTATGACGTCTATGATCCATTTATTTCGACCACCACTTACCGCTAAAGCCATCTAGGAAAAATGGTGGAAGCAAAGTTGTACACCTAATAAAAAAATTAAAAAAATTTTTTAGTTAAATCTTGATCTTCTACTTCAATAATTGTTTTGCTGCTACAATCTGTTATATTTCTGGCTTCACCTTTTTTTATTATACTTATTTTTGACGTAAATGATACAAAAAAAAATAATACAGCCTCTCTACTGACTGAAAAGGGTAATTTCACTATATTTTTATAAATTTATGAAATTTTTGTTTCTTGATAGGTTCGATGATATTCAAGATGAGGCCATTATGCGGAATGGTTTTCCTGTAACCCATTCTGTTTATGGACTTCACTACTCAATAAACGCTGCAAATTATTTACAATTACTTGCTTGTGAAAAACTTATCAATTTACATCCCATGGTAATAAGTGGTTACATTATGTCTGTGTAAAATTATGTCTTTTACATTATGTCTTTTGCATTATGTCTTTGAAAAATTGAATGCGATTTACTCTCTTGATATTTTATAACAGTAATCAAAATAAAATAGATAGTTTTACCAAAATTCCTTTTTAGATATTCTTACATGCATAAAGAAGATAAAAATTCATTGAGTTGATTCCAGTCTTTACTCGTTTCTTATCTGTTGAAGATGATTAAAACTTAATCCTGAATGTCAAGTCTATTTTAATGTTGTTAACGACTTTTTTCGTATAAATCATAAAATAAATTATTAAAATAATAAATCTCATTATAAAATTGCACTTTTTACTATGCCGACTGATAACGCTTCTTTATAATTTTTATTATATTTTTATATATTTTTTATTTTAATTACATATTTTTATATCTTAACAGGCAGTTAAAATTGTGATTGAACAATTTGTGGAATACTACAAAGGTCAAGGAATGGATTTATATTGGAAGGAAAAATTCATCTGTCCGAAAGAAGAAGATTACAATATTTTAGCAATAAGAAGTAAATATTTTTGTCTTTATAAGCTTCTGCTATATACAAAGCATATTACATATATATGTATAACTTCAATATTAATTAATTTTATAGAGAGTACTTGGATAATTATAATGGTGGTAAAATTAATGAAACTATTTTCTACTTATGAAGAAGATGTATTGTCACTAGCAAGTACTTTGGGATTATATCGCCAGATACATGATGATTATTGCAATTTACGTCATGATGAGGTGATAATTGATAATTTAATTAAATTACTTGAACCAAATTTAACAAAACTTATTGTTATTATAGGATACTAATGAGAACAATATGATATAAGTAGATATTAAAGAATATATTTCGTATTAAATAGACAATAAAAAAATTAAATGATAAACGTATCAAATTTTGAAAATTTTTATAACAAAATTTTTAGATAATGTTAAAATTCTTAACAATAATTCAAGATATTTTAAAACAACGATCGAGGAATATTGAAGTAAACCGTTACTGCGTTAAAATATTAGAGAGTTACGGCTCATTTAAGTACACAAAAGATGTACTTGATGAATTGGAAAAAAAAATAAGAACCGAAATTGATCGTTTAGGTGGCAATCCGCTCTTGGTACAGCTTCTGGAGGACTACAGGAATAAGATGTTGAAAACACGTATCTAAAGATACTTTAATCAAAATGATAAAAAATTCAGAAATACGTATTTTGTTACTAATAAAACGTCAGACGTAGCATTGTATAATTTATCCATTTCGTTGTATAACACAAACTCTTATTAATAGCTATAAACAACAAAATGTAATAAAAATAAATATAAATAAAGATAAATATGGCTTATTTATGAAACTTTGCTGAAAAAAAATCATTTGTAAAATGCTATAGTAATAAATCATATGCACCTAAAAAAAATATTCTGCCTGTAAGTGGGAAATTTCTCTTAACATTTCTTCTAAGTAAAAAATTTTACATGAATCTCACACAAGCGCATATATTTGTGACATATATTTTTCTATAAAAATGAGGACACATGAAAAGTGATAAAAAATAAATTCCTTTCTAAAAAATTCCATTATATTAACTCAAATAGTCTTTTGAAAGAATAGGATATATTAGAATGAAAATAATTACTATATACATTTATTAAAATAATATTTTTCTTGATATGATAATTGATAACTCGCAACATGTATTTATTAATACGTAGTGCAATACATTATTTAATATATAAATATATTTATTAGGAATAGCAGATATTTTTAGTCAGTTGATATTTTTATTAAAATCTTAATGTTAATGCATTCAAACATCGACTATATAAATATACATGCTTACTAAATTTTACTCTTGAACATGATATAATATTCATCTACACATTATGACATTACGATAATACTCATATATTTACAAAAAATCGTAATGCCTTATTTTTTAAACGAGCAATCGATATTTTTTTTAAAGAATAAATTTTACATATGTACATTTCATACGTACATTTACATAAAAATTTTGCGTACAATTAGTGTTCATGTTCTTATTTTTTTATCATTAAGTTATCATTCAAATCTGATATATTCAAATATCATTATATTTTGCAAATATCTCTTTTGTCCATTGTCCTTTTATTATTAATATTTTAATGATAATATTATAATGACAATATACTGCTTGTTATTATAATAAATTAAATACATTGACCAAGTGCTATTGAAGTACTATAAAAAAAAGTATTCCGCGAAAAACTTTTTTTCCATGTAACAGAGGACTATGATTAGTTGATTTATTTACAACGTTTCGATTTATTTATAGTTCATGTCGCATGCACTATATAAGAGTCTGTACTCTTTAGCATATTACTGCTGTTAAAACATCAGAGAAGAAAGCTGTAAGAGCTGCCTATACACTTTTAGACAGGTATTCATAGTCTATTTCAATTTGCTTTTTTATAGACCTGTAATACGATTTTTTTTTTAACCGAATTATTCAACATTGAAGCAATAA